AGATCACCTATAAAGGAAAACCCATCAAAATCACATATATCTATACACAAACCATGCAAACCAGAAGAGCCGGGAGTGAAGTATTACAGGTCTTGAGACAAAAAGCTTCCAACAAAGACTGATGTATCCTGGTAAATTATCCTTCAAATTCAATCGAGAAAATATTTCCGTGACAATGAACAAGAGAACAACTTCATGAGTGCCAAACCATTGTTGCAAAGAGAATTGAAAGATATTCTATACAGAGAAAAAAGTGACTACAATTTCAAGAACAATACAAAGAAACCTTGAAACACATTAAGCAATTAAAATAGGTAGAAAAAGGAGGAAGCCAACAGCAAGTAAATAAGATGACAATGAAAAGTCAACACATATAAGTTAATCATAAATGTAACTGGCCTCAATTCACCAGTCAAAAGAAACAGACCGGCAGAATGGATTAAGAACTAAAATTCCACAAAATTCTGTATACAGGAAACAAATTTTACTCAAAGGAAATCCATAGACTGAAAGTCAAGGAATGGAAAACAATTCTCCATGAAACCACAACCCAGAAAATACGGATGTAGCTATTATGATTGCAGACAATGTACACTTCAAACCAAGAACAATCAGAAGAGATGAAGAAGGTCACTACGTACTTGTTAAGGGAAAACTGCAACAGGAAGAGATAACAATCATAAACATGTGTGCAATAAATACCAGAGCACCAAAAACTATATAAGAGAAATCTTCACAGGCTTGAAAAAACAAATAATTACTAACACTATTGTAATAGGGGACCTCAACATCCCTATGACACAAAGAGATAGGTTCACTAGACAAAAAATTAGGAAAGAAAGAACAGATCTGAACCAAATCTGCAAACAAATGGACTTAGTATATGTATACATGCTGTTTGAATCCACAACATCACAATATACATTTCTCTTAGCTGCACATGGGACTTGCTCTAAAATAGATCATATTCTAGCCCATAGAGAAAACCTACTTCAATGTAAGAAAATTGAAATTATCCCATGCATATTATCTGACCACAGTGATATTAAATTGGAAATTCATGACAAAAGGAACTCCAAAACTCCATAAACACTTGAAAATTAAACAACAACCTCCTGAACAACCAATGGGTCACAGAAGAAATTAGAGAAGAAATTTAAAAGTACCTACACAAAAATGAAAATGCAAATACAAGATCCCAGAATTAATCGGATGCAACAAAAGCAGACCTCAGAGGGAAATTTTTAGTGGTGAACTCACACATGAGGAAAATAGAAAGAGAACAAATAAATACCCTAATGCTGCACATCAAACTTTTAGAAAAAGAAGAAAAAGTCAAGCCCAAAGCCCAAAGAAGGGAGGAGAGTATAATGATCCAGGCAGATGTTAATGCAATTCAGATGAATAAATCCCTCCAGAAAATGAATGAATGAAAGAGTTGGTTCTTTGAAAGAATAAATAAAATTGATAAACCCCTAGCCAACCTTCTCAAGAAAAGAAAGGAAAGAAC